TCTCTATTTGTAAAATATAAATGGCTGCTTAGTAAAAGTAAATTCAACCTAAAGTCTGACCGCGTCAACCTTGTTGCCCTGGCTAGTCCTGTTGATTGTCTGCCTTATTAACCCAATGTGCGGGCGATACAGTACAAACTGGGACTAGAAAGGTTGACCCGGCTCGGAAATTCAAATGTACTACGGCTGCCCGTGTAGAGTTACATATCCGATTATCAACGGTGCCTTTTAAAGCTTTGTCTGATCAAGAATATGTAAGATATCCATTATCTTCTCTTTGAAAATTTTTGTGGTTTCTTTGTAAAGTGACTTCCGCATTTCTGCTTCGAATTGTGGAAGTGGTCAGAATAAATTATTTTCAAGATAAAGATATTTTTCAGATTGGGCATGTCATTCTCACTTTAAACTACCCTACAGTATTTTAAAGTTTATTAAATTAAAGTATGATGAATAAAACTTATTTGGTGTCATGTGAAGATTTAAAAAAAAGCTTTTTTGAAAAGGAATTGTGGTTAACTAAATATTAATTGAGATAAGTTTTTAATTCTTTATTGTGAGCTTTTATGCAGGAACTTTAAGAACTTAAAAAAACACTTATTAAGCTATTTATTTTTAATTGAAATTTTAAATTCAGATGTTTATTTTAATTATCTGTAGATGGATCGTGAGGCGGCGGCCATGCAGCGGCGCAGCCAGTCCGAGGGGCCGGTCAAACGAAACCCACTCTTTCAGTCAGAATACAGGTAGTACATGCTCCTTAAAATGATAATTTCAAAAAAAAATTGTTGCTTTTCCTGTAAAAATGTGCAATTTTTTTGATAGAAAACTTCACTCTGACCCTCCAGATACCTCCCTGGGGTTGTCAAGGTCAATTAAACAAAGAAAATTAATGAAAAAAAAACAATTAGAAATTAGGTATCAAGGTGTGTACCTAGAGCCGTAAATTTAGTAAGCACTGTTTATGGATTATGATGAATATTAAAGTGTTAATAGATGTTCTTCTTTATAGAAAATATTCCAAATTGTTCTGTCAAACGTTTTTTATCAATCCAAATACGCATTTCAAGACTTTAGAAATCTCAAACGTTATAAAAAATTCATACATTGAAATAATTAATTTTTCCAATCTAAAAACGATAGATTTCAAAAAAAATATTTAGAGTGCAGTTTGCATCAAGTAGGCGGGGCAGGGATAGAGCTGAGGACAATGATATACGCCCACAGGTATATTGATAATTAGGCTTACTTTTAAAGGTTGAAACGGCATTTATAAAAAATTTTCATCAAAGACCCCCCTCCCCCGCTGCCCCCGTATCCCTAATTTTTGGGGCTTGTACTTACTAGAAGCACTTTTGACACAATACAACGATGTTTATTAGGCTAAAAAGTATAACACAATTTTTCAGAAACACCCTGTTTATATATTCACAATTAAATAGATTATAAAATACAGCCTCCAGCCGACTGGAACCTCCACCAAAATGAAAAGTGGATTAGGGTGATACCTATTAATTATAGCATCAGATCAATTTTCAATATCATAATAATATTTTAGTAAAGGTTATCTGTCGAATCTAAAACTAATTTGTCGAGAATTTAGAGAGATTCGTCATATAAAAAAAATAGTTTCCGTGATTGAATTTTATGCTTTAAGAAACTACCTAAAGGAAACCGATTGAGTATTTATAAATCCTTGTAAAATCACACTGTAGTAAAATGCTTATAATTAAAGTCTAAAATAGAATGTGTGCAGCGCAATTCATTAATAAATAATGTTCAGATTAGAAAATTTAAAATCAGTTAAGTATTTATTGAAAAATGTTAAAGGGACTGTAAGAGTTATTTCAAGTAACCTTCTATGCAAAGAGGGGAATGCCCGATTTACAACGGTACCTTTAACCCTATTTATCCTGATGTCTGGTTTCATGACTGGTTCCCTAGGGAAGGGTCCCCCTCTATTTTCTTATTGTGATACAAATCTATAACATTTGATAAGCTTTAAAAAAGCCCTTACGCTTTCCTTCAATAATCTGCAAAATGAATTTCAAATTTGCAAAAATCCAAATATTTATTGCGAAATCAAGTTATTAAGCAAAAAATGTGCAATAATGCAAATGGCAACAAATTATACATTTTGGAAAAACCCTTGACCCAGCGAATTCAAATGTGCAAAAATATTTGCAAAATTTGTAAAACCTGAATGTGTTTTCAAGAAAAACTGAAAAAGGGAAAATTCCCTTTAAAAGTAAATGTGCTAAATTTCTTTGCAAAAATTGTGCAATCTGGTTGCTTTTGTTATAGGCTTTCCAAAGAACTATAAAATGTTTAAATCCAATGACTGGAGGTTGGTCTAAATATAGATTTAATTTGGTAAACGTAAAGGTGAGGACTCAGGTAGTGGGTTTAAAAGCCCAGCTTTTAGGCTTAGGGATGGGCATGTGTAAGTTAGAAATGTCAGAAAATTTGAGCTTCCTAGCTCCAAAACATTTTGAGTTATTGCAAAAAAACAATAGGTCAATATAGTGTGGGGTCAAATTACCCCCCCCCCCCCTCACAAGGATAAATAAGGTTAAAACCTTTCTGTGTTCGTCGAAATATGTGTGTAACTGTATCTGAATTCGCTTGTATGGGATGATAAGCTAAAAATTCAGGTGTGCACTGCACTACAGTCTGAACTCAACGCAACGCGAAGCTTTAACCCTTTCCCTGCAGGGGTACTTGAAAACCAGAATAATTATCAATTTATAATATCAGGGGTCATATTTGCAAAAACAAGGTTTAATCCGTTCCATGTGACAAAAAGTCTTTTTTAGTGCCTTTAATAGTTTTTGCTAGATCAGGACCTATATTAGCAAAAAAATATTAAACCCCTCTGATATTTCCACGGTCCCCTGAGAGAACTTTTCCATTGCTCACAAAGGACTGTTAACTATTTTACGTCCCCTTCCTAGTACGCTTTTGATAGTTAGCCATGTTTGTTTACAAAATTACAACCTTTACTATATTCTTGACATTTATCACTAAAGCATTTTTTTTCGTGCTGCCCTCACAAGGCGAGTATACACTGCATTATATTCTTTAAATCTAGATTTAGTTTCCTGACAGGGTTTCCTCAACTTTTTATTAAACAATTTGGCTTTACGTTTTCTCGATATTATCAGTGCTTCAGACATTCAACGGTTAAAAGGTCACCCCTTAATATATATCTGTAAATCTATTTTTAAGAATCGGTAAAAATCAAGATCATTTTCAGATCTCTCTCTCTCTCTCTCTCTCTCTCGATCTCTCGATCTCTCTCGATCTCTCGATCTCTCTCTCTCGATCTCTCTCTCTCGATCTCTCTCTTGATCTCTCGATCTCTCTTTCGATCTCTCTCTCTCTATGGGGATGATGATATGCTATAAAATGTTTTATGCCAGTGCCCGAGGACTAACAGGGAATATATATTCTAATAACCTAATACATTTTCTTCAAGCCATAAAAATAGAAAAAAGAATTTATTTTTAAGGATTTTTTTAGGAGTCCAGGCCTCAAGTTAGCTTCCCACCTCCTGCTTATATTTACATTTTACAAATGATGGGAAGCATAAATTGTTGTTTAGTTTGAAGTCACGTGATGGGAAGGATGGGAAGGATGATCAGGATCAGGTTCGTGAGCCCAAGAAATCTATCTCTATGGGTCAGATTCAACCAACAGGAAACAACCCACCTTCCGCTCAGAAACCAACCTCTTTAGGAATTTAAAAATGCAAAAAAAAGTTGCAAATGTTGATCCTCAGAAAAATCGTGCAAAGTGTTGTGATTGTTTGGGTGATTGAGACGTTTTAAAGCAAAATTTTAATCATTTTTGCTTGAAAATATGCTTTTTTTATGGCTTTTGCCGGGAGTTTGAGAAAAATATTGACGCTTTTGCCACACTGCTATACTTATTTACATTTTACAAACCTCTTGAAAATAGCTTTTGAAAGACTGAATAACTGACAAATTAAAACAATTTTGAAGACTTTTAGTTTTTATGATTAAGGTTTCTAAAATTGCATATTTGAATAATTATTTTAACAGGAATTCAAGATGGTCAGGATTTGAATGGAAATGCAGGTGGGCAAATAAAAAAAGAAATTGTATTAGAATATCTTTTTAAAATATTTAATTTAGATGTTGTTGATGGNACAAGAATAGATTCATCAGTGTTCGTTTAGTATCCGAGATATATAGGTCAGAAACTAATTACAGTTCTCTAATGACCTGTCTTCTCTCTAATTACTTTCTAACTAATGGATTCCTGATCTATTGCAAATATTTAAAATGGACTAAATCATTAATTTGCACAAATGCACGCTTAAGTTCAAATTCAGACAGATGTCGACTGGATAAAGGAACCGAGTTTTTGTCACAGGCTTAAATTTTCTAATCCTTATATCTTTGCAACACAATGTCATAAACCTTTGATATTTCAAACTATTAAATCTGTTAGATCAAATAATTAAAGTTTGAAATATCAAAGCTTTACCACATCAGGTTGCAAAGATAAAGAGATTAGAAAATATGAGTTTGTGGCAAAAACTCAATTCCTTTATTTTCATATTACTTTTATATTTTGTCCTAGCGAAAAATCATTTTGAATTGTGTACTTGAAGGATCTGTCTAATTTAATTTGCTTCTCCTTTAAAAAGTTGAATTCCTGATTTACATCAGTGCTTTAAACCTAAATCTGAGCAACAATGAGGAAGATATTTTCGTTTATTTATCTAAAAAGTGTTGAGTTCTGTCAGTTTCATTTCTTTCTCTGGTTTATTAATCCTTAAGTTACTTTCGAAATTAAACCACACTAAGCTTTCTAGGATACGGTTTTTAATCGCGATTGCAACTTTTGTAAGGGTTGCAAAAATTAAGTTGATCTTTTTAATAGTTTCTGTAATATAAATAATAGTTTGTGTATTACATTTAATAGTTTCTGTAATATAAATAATAGTTTGTGTATTACATATAATAGTTTCTGTAATATAAATAATAGTTTCTGTACTAAAATAATAGTTTGTGTATTACATATAATAGTTTGTGTATTGTATATACTAGTTTGAATATTATATTAAATAGTTTGCGCACTATATCTAATAGCTTGTGAACTATATCTAATAGTTTGTGTACCATACATAATAGTTTGTGTACTATTTCGAATAGTGTGCGTACTACATAGCTAATAGTTTGCGTACTACATATCTTATAGCTTGTGAACTATATCTTATAGCTTGTGTACTGCAGGGAGTACAAGTCCGAGTACAAGAACAAGTACCGACCCTTCTCTCAATACGAATATGTTGGTGATGGGTTTATCTATCTATCTAGACGGATGGACCTAGTAGCCTGGTTAGTACTGGGGAGAAGGGAGAAGGGGAACCCTGGTATAAAGAAGTTCAGGAACTACGGAAAGCAGCGAATGATTACAAGGTTACTTTTTTTAATTATTGACGATTTAAACAACAAGTAGAAGTGGTGAAGTGATCACTATATATTTCATTTGATTCCAAAAATAAATCATCATGGCAATTATAAAAAAATCGAGAATGGCTTAAATTAAAACTGAAGAAAATACAAACGACACCAAATATTCGTGAATTTTTACATGAAAAACAAATATACCAAAAAGTTTCTGGGGAAGGGACGAGGGGTTGGGTAAAGAAATTGGATTAAATTCTTAATACAAAGGAATTGAGTTTTTGCCACAAACTTAAATTTTCGAATTCCAATAACTTAGCGACCTGATTTTGTAAACAATTGATATTTCAAACTTAGATCAGTTAAGCTAACAGAATGCATAGTTTGAAATATCTAAGGTCTACGACATTTGGTTGGGACAATGTAAGGATTCGAAAATCAGAGTTTGTTGCAAAGACTCAATTCCTTAAAAAGTATTTTACACGCGAATTCAAATATCCATGGATTTTTTAATGGATACAGTTAAACCCTGAAATTTGGAGACATCGAAATAATTTATAAAATGTCGTCTAGACAAATTTTTAATGAATTTACCTCTGAGAATCCTGAGAATTACACCTAAATCTCTCAGTAATTGTAAAAATAAAGAAAAAGTTATGAAATATGCAGAAACAGTTTGAGCTCCATATAAATATAAACTATTCAATTATAAAATAAATATCTACGGCATTACATTTTCAATAGGGTAAGAAAACGACAATTTCTAAATATTTACGCGGTGTCCAAAGTTCAGGGTAAAAATGTAAGAAACTAGAAGAAAAGGTTCCCCAGCCAGGGGGATAAAAATTTTTTGATGCATATTTGTTTTAGTGTCGAGGATGGGGAACTGATCTTGTTCCAGCACACATGTCAGATATTTATTCTCAACAACTACAACTTCATGATCAGGTAGAAAATATACACCTTGATCTTCATGATCAGGTAGAATATACATCTTGATCTACATGAACAGGTAGAATATATACATCTTGATCTACATGATCAGGTAGAATATACATCTTCATCTACATGATCAGGTAGAATATACATCTTGATCTACATGATCAGGTAGAATATACATCTTGATCTACATGATCAGGTAGAATATACATCTTGATCTTCATGATCAGGTAGAATATATACATCTTAATCTACATGATCAGGTAGAAAATATACATCTTGATCTTCATGATCAAGTAGAATATATACATCTTGATCTACATGATCAGGTAGAGTATATACATCTTGATGTACATGATCAGGTAGAATATATACATCTTGATCTTCATGATCAGGTAGATTATACATCTTGATCTACATGATCAGGTAGAATATATACATCTTGATCTACATGATCAGGTAGAATATATACATCTTGATCCTCATGATCAGGTAGAATATTTACATCTTGATCTTCATGATCAGGTAGAGTATATACATCTTGATCTACATGATCAGGTAGAATATATACATCTTGATCTGCATATTCAGGTAGAATATATACATCTTGATCTTCATAATCAGGTAGAATATTTACATCTTGATCTACATGATCAGGTAGAGTATTTACATCTTGATCTTCATAATCAGGTAGAATATTTACATCTTGATCTTCATAATCAGGTAGAATATTTACATCTTGATCTACATGATCAGGTAGAGTATATACATCTTGATCTACATGATCAGGTAGAATATATACATTTTGATCTACATGATCAGGTAGAATATATACATCTTGATCTACATGATCAGGTAGAATATACATCTTGATCTACATGATCAGGTAGAATATACATCTTGATCTACATGATCAGGTAGAATATATACATCTTGATCATCATGATCAGGTAGAATATACATCTTGATCTTCATGATCAGGTAGAGTATATACATTTTGATCTACATGATCAGGTAGAATATACATCTTGATCTTCATGATCAGGTAGAATATATACATCTTAATCTACATGATCAGGTAGAATATTTACATCTTGATCTTCATAATCAGGTAGAATATTTACATCCTGATCTACATGATCAGGTAGAATATATACATCTTGATCAACATGATTAGGTAGAATAAATACATCTTGATCCACATGATCAGGTAGAATATATACATCTTGATCTACATGATAAGGTAGAATATATACATCTTAATCATCATGATCAGGTAGAATATACATCTTGATCTATATGATCAGGAAGAATATACATCTTGATCTACAGGATCAGATAGAGAATGAACATCTTGATCTTCATGATCAGGTAGAATATATACATATTGATCTTCATGATCAAGTAGAATATATACTTCTTGATCTACATGATCAGGTAGAATATATACATCTTGATCTTCATGATCAGGTAGATTATATACATCTTGATCTACATGATCAGGTAGAATATACATCTTGATCTACATGATCAGGTAGAATATACATCTTGATCTACAGGATCAGATAGAGAATGAACATCTTGATCTTCATGATCAGGTAGAATATATACATCTTGATCTACATGATCAGGTAGAATATATAACTCTGCATCTACATGATCAGGTAGAATATATACATCTTCATCTACATGATCAGATAGAATATATACATCTTTATCTTCATGATCAAGTAGAATATATACATCTTGATCTACATGATCAGGTAGAATATATACATCTTTATCATCATGATCAGATAGAAAATGAACATCTTGATCTACATGATCAGATAGAATATAAACATCTTGATATTCATGAACAGGTAGAATATATACATCTTGATCTATGTGATCAGGTGAAATGAGTTAGAGTTAAATGATTTTATTTTCTTTTTCATATTTTGGATTTATTATATTACTTCTATATTTGACAAGCTGAAAGTGAAATGCCCAGCATTGCGCTTGGAATTTTAGAATTTTGAAGAAAAAAAATTTAAAAGGAATTGAGTCTTTGCCACAAACTCAGTTTTTATCTTTGCAACATTATGATGTAAACCTCCCGTCAGGACATTTGTTGGAAAATGTACGCTAGATTCTGACGTGTGTATTTTGCTTAGTCAACTGCACTGATCATTGTTATTAGTTGCAGTGCGTGGAAAAGGGATATGAAAATAAACCAACATTTCGTGGGGG